CGAAACAGCGAGTTTGGATTCGAGTTCGGGTTCGAATTAGACTTTGAGCTGGACTTCGAGTTGAAGTTCGAGTTAGACTCCGAGTTAACTATTTAGAAATAATAATGATGCAATATAATAAATAAATTTAAGAGAGATGTATATGACCATTATTAAAACAAGATGTAATAAAAAATAACAACAGCAAAAAACAAAATTATAGTTTCAGCGCACGGTAGGCTTCGAAAGGGGAGCGGGGGATATATAGTATGGAGGGGAGAAGTAAGAGGGCTAGGGAGAGAAGAAAGGCACGTCTGCTATATGAAAAAAAAAAAACAACAACAACAAACCAAACCAAAAAAAACAATCGTCGGTAGGCTCTCAGGACTTTTAGCTCATTTTATAATGCCGCTTGCCTAGAGCATTTTCTCGATTAAATTAACGTCACAGGTGATTTTGTTGAAATTATTGAAATCGCTTGGACCTACCTTAGCTTTCTCTCTAGAGTATTTCTGCTTCAAAATATATCAACAGCCTGCAGACTTCAAGGCAGACCGTGTTGATACCAAATATTTGAAAGGGCTTTCGCCTTTGGCTAACAGTAAGTGAGAAAACACAGCTGGAATCCAGCTGATAACAGCAAAGGAGAAACACAAAGCTAACACCTTCTTAGCCTATCAACAGTTAACCTATGAAATCAAAATCGTTTTATTTTTATTGTATTTGGGTAATATATACTGAAAAGTTTTAATACTCCGCCAGTAACATACCGGTAAAATGTTTGCCCAATGCTCGCTTACACAGCGTTTCTGAGTGACAGTTAAAATTCAGCGGCGAAATTGGACCGCGTGTTCCCCGGGGGGGGGGGGGTACTACCATGTATGGGCTATATGGGTATGTACGCTGTGAAGGGTATGGTTTTCAAGCAGTTTACTCCAGGATAGCCTCTAGAATAGGGTATCATTTTTCAGGAAACTGATCAGTTGGTTGAAGATTTTATCTAGACTAGGGATTGTCGTATAAGGTTTTGTTTTGGCTAGACTGTGCTAGTGACCTCAGTATTTTCTGGAAAACAGCTACTCTAGGATAGGGGCGATTTGGGGAGTTTACTCTAGCATAGGGTAACAAAGTTCAGCTGAACTAGCTCTGGTATAGGTTGAGGGTTCCAGGGTCCTAGCGGCACATCCCCACCCAGAAATTCCTAAAGTACCCCCCCGGGGCGTGTTCTCAAGCGAGAAGCATTGTAATGATGAGCGGTTCACAGATAGCGATAAATGTACAGACTTTTCCATTTTAATAGAGGAAACAGATTATAACGATACTGTCTTCAGAAATCACAAACAACGAAGAACGTTGTTAATTACATTAGTATGAATTTTCGTCCCAAAAGAGAAAAAAGTTGTGCAAACAAAGAGTACCACAGCAAACACGGTTGGAAAAAGCTGGCGTGAAAGAAAAGGACACAAGAACAAAACGACACTTTGTAATCCCTTTTCCATCCTTTACAATAGGTGCGGTTATACTGTTTATACAAAATGACGACAGCCAAATCCTGCTGTTTTATTCAAGACAAAAATATAGACATGAATAACAAAACAGCAAAGAGAAAAGCGACTTGAGGTTTCCCGATTACATTTAGCTAAGTTAACCATTTTACCCTTGCGCAAATGGCTTTTACCCAGAAATGTAACATGTGTCATTGTGTGAGCGGTTTTTCCCAAGGTGAAATTCCCAGGGGGAAATTTCCATGGATACGTCAAAAAGAACAAAAAAAAATTACCCTTTGCCAGTTTTAAAAGTTAAATTTTTCCTTTGGTGGCCATTTGGCGACCAAGGGATTTTTTGGCCGCCAAATTATATATATTAATAATTAAAGTCTTAATTATTAGTTGATAATTAATTAAAAATCTGCCAGTTACATTAAAACGTTTGCCCAATGGCCCCTTACATAGCTTTTCCGAGTGACAGTTAAAATTCAACGGCGGAATTGATCATTTATTGCGATCAAAATTAATTGGACAGCGTGTTGTCGAGCGAATAGCATTTTAATGATTTAGCAGCGGTCCACAGATAGCGATAAACGTACAGACTTTTGCATGTCCATTAGGAAACATTAACGATACTATCTTCAGAAATCACAAGAAACTAGGTTGTTAATTATTATGAATCTCTCAAAGTCAAAAGTGAAACTGAACGGTTGTGTAAACAAATAAAATTGCAGCCAACACGGTTGGAAAAAATCGTAAGTGGTCAGTAATCCTTTTTTTTTCATCCCTTACAATAGGTGCAGCTACTCTTCTAGCTATTTTACCCTTAGGTAAATGGTTTTTACCCACGGGAATGGAAAATGTTGACAGCGCCTGGGCGATTTTCCCGAGGTGAAATTGTCTCGCGGAAATCTCCATGGACACGTCAAAAAGAACAAAAAAAATTCCTTATGTCCGAGTTCCCGAGGTTTGTTATTTAGGTTAATAAGAACCCAGACTGGCTCCAAAAAATCACGGAAAAAATGTACCCAAAATTAGAAATCAAGTGTTGTTAACGTGCTGTGTTCGTCTTGGCTGCAAGGGGAGCTCTGGGGAAAAGGCCGAGTGCAACTGCACCTTATCGTTCTCTTATTCTTGCGTTTGTAATGTATTATCTTAAAAAAAACCAAGCATTTTTAAGAATTCCCACCGCTCTCTCGCAGAGCCTTCCACCACAAAAACTACCACTGAGAAATAAAGATTACATTCAGCTTTTTTTTCGTCTCTGTAACATTACGAGGGTATTTCGCCTCGAAGGCAATGACTTTGCCGGAATCGACCACGTGATTTCTTGCACCGTCTTTTCGCCAGTGAACTAAACGCACGCGCAGTTTAGAAAGCATTCGTCGATTCGTGAAGAAAAATAAAACCAGAGAAGATCTATACTAGGCTCTTTGCAAAAGAAATCCTGAGTATTTAGTTTAATCTGGCTATATCATGTAAAACTTCCGAGAAGGCGTTCATCATATCATGTAAATATAAATTAGAACTGTCGAATGTTTGTGGTAGAAAAATATATTTTCCACTGTTATTTTAGCTTCACATTCCTTCTTACAGTTTGTCGCCTTTTGGTGTCGCAGTGCGTTTATCGCAGCTTCTGATTGGTTCGTTTTACCTATTTGAGATGCTGTTTTCAGTTTGTTCTCTCTCTCTCGCTTGCGACCTTAGCACTTTAGAGCTGTTTTCTGCTTCGGACGTTTAAGATCTGGCCACACCCACCCTCCCTTTTCTCAGGTTTCTACGGGTGTTTTTTCATTTTATCTGCTTTTGATACTGCTTTTATTTCATCTGTTTTCAGGCGGTAGAGATGCTTACGTGGACCTCGCGAGGTGTTTTAAATGTCACAAAGATGGATCCCTATTGCATTTAGGAGCTATATTTTTTGGAAAAACAACTTAGATTCCATCAAAGTGCGCAATTGTTTTCTCTTTAATAAGCCACAGCGTTTCGCTTACTCCGATGCCAGCGCTACAGGGTGCGGTTCAGTTATTACCCTTAATGAGGATTGTGTGTGTCACAAGCTTTGGGAGCCTTCAGAATGTTCTAAGAGCTCTACTTGGAGAGAACTTGCAGCCATTGATTGTTCTCTAGAGTCTTTTGCGCCAATTTTAAAAGGTTCACTTGTCAAGTGGTTCACTTATAGCCAGACGGCGGCTAGAATTATAGAAGTCGGAAGCATGAAATTGGATTTGCACAGGCTTGCTATTAAGATTTTTCAGTTTTGCGTGGAGCACTCTATTCGTTTGGAGGTGCAGTGGATCCCACGAACTGAAAATGAGAAGGCGGATTATATCAGTCGCCATATAGACTTTGATGATTGGAGGAGTTATGGGGCCCGCATACAGTTGACTGTTTGCCAATTATTATACAGCTAAGCTTCCTAGATTCTTTTCGCGTTTCTGGAATCCGGGTGCGTCAGGAATTGACTTCTTTGCCCGAGAGTTAAGTTCCGAGAATTGTTTAATGTTGTTTCTCTTGTTGTTCGCGTTAGCCATTATCTCAGCCTACAGAAAGCGATGGCTACTCTTGTAGTACCATTATGTCCTTCGTCCAGTTTTTGGCCTCTTCTGACGTCGTTCATTAAAGGATGCTTTACGCTGAATGCATTCCAAGCTCTCACCCTAGGAAGAAATTTAAGTTCATTCCTTGGCTCTCCTCGTTTTACAGGGGAGGTTGTCGCGCTTAGATTCGAATTTTTGTAGAGATTATCCAGCTTATTGCCTTTCGAGTAGGTCATTCTGAACTAGCTTTTAGTGCTGGTATTTGCAAGATTTGACACTGGTCATTAGTTGCATGGACAGCTGTGTCCAGGTAAATGACACTGGTCATGTGAAGGGACGACTGCGTCCGTTGGAGAAGATTTCTGTCGTTTTAGATTTTTGTTCGGTAGAACGAGGTTTCGAGTTCTCTCGAGAATGGGAGACCTGTTCACGTATGAAAAATTGTGTCCTTTTTTGACACTGGTTCGCGGATCGTAACTCAACCTGCCATTCTGGCCAAGGTTTTTCACAAGGTTGAACTGCGTTGTCCTTGTTGGTTTAGGTTATTTACCTTTCTTAATCAAGCCTGTAACTTTGTTTTTGTTGATTGTTATTTTATTGTCCGAGCTGACTGTGTCGTAGACAGGGTGTTCCCTACTTTATATTCGTTTGCCTGTAGTTTATGGGGCCTTTTGGGGGATTTAAATGATCTACCAGAGCAAGTCGCGTTTGGGGTATATATGCAGTTATTACGCGTTTGTTATGAAGTTTTCTTTGTAGGTTATTCGCTAGGCCTTTGTTTAGGAGCTACTTTGCATGCCTATTTTGCCCCGGGGAGGTCGGTGTAGTTTCCTTCTATTCTGCTGCCTGCAGACATTGCGTCATAGAAATAGGGCCGTTTATTAAAATCGCTGTCATCGCTTGCGTCACATTTCCTAGAGCCGCTATCCTGTTGTTGCAAAATTTTTGGTGATGTAATTTTTTCTTTCAGGTCGTAGTTGCAAGTAAAGCATGGATGGTGCTCCCTCTTGCTATTAGGCCGGATTTCAATTCTTTATTTAAGTGTTTACTTAGTTCTAGGGCGGATTCTACTGTGAAGAAATATCTTAAGGAAATAAACAAGTTTTTACTATGGTGTAGTAATTGCGCTACAGTTGCCATTTTCTTCTTCTGTTGTCACCCTTTATCTATTTGGCTTAGATCAACAGCTTAGGTCCCCGGCCGCAATGGTTTTGGTCCATGCTGCGCTGAAATGGTTCCATTCCTTTGTTCCTGATGATGGTCCCAATAACTTTGGATAACGCTTGTTGCAAGAACTTGATTGAGTGCGCCAAGAGGACAAGGCGCAATCCAGTTCACAAGAAAAAGCCCGCTATCATTAGAAGCATTATTGACAGATATGGCGCTGAGGAAGCATCTTTAAAGGACTTACGTATTGCCGCAATAAGTTCTTTAGGTTTTGCAGGATTTTTTCGTTTTAACGACTTGGCTAATATTCAGCCAAAACACCTCACGCTTTGCGATGGTTTTGTCAAAATTTTTGTGCCAAGGAGTAAAACGGATGTATATAGAGAGGGCAATTATGTTTATATCACTAAGTTAGAGAACAAATACTGCCCAGTAGCTATCTTACGTAGGTATATTGAAGCAGCCAATTTGGATCTGTCTAATCACTTGCCTTTATTCAGACCATTAACGAAGAACAAGTCGGGTTACCTCTTAGGAATGGCAAGTTATCCTATACTCGCTGCAGGGAAATATCAAAATATTTAAGACTACTTTGAAAGATTTGGTTCTATGACCCCAAGGAATATGGCCTACATAGTCTGCGTTCAGGGGGTGCTACAGCTGTTATCAGTAATAACGCTTCCAAAGCCGTTTCTGAGAGGTTGTTAAAACTTCATGGGCGCTGGAAAACGGACGAAGCGAAAGACATGTACGTTTTAGAGACAGAATGTAATCGTTTAACTGTGACGAAATATTTAGGTATTTATAGCTCCGATTTAAATGAGCGAAGCGAATTAGAACGTAAGGGAACTGTTTAGCGCCAGCGACATAGATTCCACATTTCGAAGACGTTTGTTGATCCCAGGGTAAGCTCAGTGTAAACCAGTCGACCTAACTCGAGCAGTTCAAAAGCATTGCCCATTCAATTTTTTCCCGGTACATAAAAAGGAAGCTGTTTTCAAGTCTCTGCATTTTATTTCATTCTAAAGAACGATCCATCTACACCGTAACAGTTTTGCTTGTTGTACTTAAATGGCTCCATGACTGAATTAGCCCAATTATGAATTAAAATTAAAAGAAGCCCTAATTTTAGAATTCTCAAAATTAAAGATTGAGCTTTCCGTTCATTGAACGCGGCTTCCTCACAGGTACTACTTAGACCAAACGTCAGGCTAAATCTATTCTTTTCTCTTTGCTGCATTAGCTCAATAATATGTGCGAACTGTGGTGAAAGAATTTTTCGTAACGGTAAAAGAAATTAGTTGAGAAACTTTTCCCTAAAATTTCTGTCTGAAATTTTGTTGCCTCGACCTCTCCATTCGTTATTGTGCGGTTGTTAAAGCTGTATGTGAGAAACAACAAGCATCCCAACTTTGAATGGAGAGGAGGGGGAGGGGATGGGAGTGTTTTTTGTTCTCCGAAGTGCTCTATTTGATGATAGTGTCTCAACAATTTTGTTGCTGATTGTAGCTACAATTAAACTAACTTATGCTTATTGATCAGCGTGATTATAGCAGACAAAACTAAATGTTCCAAAGACCATGTCCTACAGTAAAACCTAACGTTTTAAGAAACCATCAAACTCACAACGGTCTTGGCAGTGGCCTTCGACGTTCGACCAATTACAGTGACTAGCACGTCCTCTGCGGTTCCTGTGGCGGCCAAAGGCGATGCGGAAAAATACACGTCAATTGTGGCCAGACGGTCTTGGTAGACGAGGTGTGATCTTTGATAGTAGGTGTTGAACACTGACGTAGCTTCAACTGAAACATCAAACATTTCAGTAACATAAGTGTTGAAGACTAAAAACATGACTGATTCATTGGTGTGTTTGGGAACCGTGAATTCACTTTCGGAATAGATGACTTTGACCATTACATGGCTGGGTTGTATAGTGATCTTGGAATTGCGTTCAAAGTCAAAGTTTTTCTTGGTCTTGCCCCTCAGTTGCAGCTTAAAGGGGGCCGATGGAGTAACAAAGGTGGCCGAGAAATGTGCTGTAGTTCTAGTTCCAGCTGGTCTGACAGACGCTGTGCGAAGGACGCTTCCATCTTCCTTCAGGATGTTAAGGTACAGAGATGACGACTGTATTTTACCAGCCTCTCTCACTATCAAGACGACATGCGCGTATTTTCCTGAATATAAGATGAAGAAGAAACGTTAGATCAATTTGGGTTTCTAGGAAACAGCCTACTACCCCTCCCCCAACCCAGCATTTTGTCCTAAGTGGGAAGTAAATGTTAACGTTGAGTTAGGGGAGGGGTAAGTGGAAGTCACCAAGCTAGCAATGCATTTTAACTGGGAAAAAACTCAACTTTAACTACACAAGTTTCATGATGAAATTATCACTTTGTTCTTATTGGGTTTATTTCTGCCAATTTGAAAATGCAACTGGCCGTTTTGAAGCTTAGAAACCATCGAGAAGCTGGGCTGAACTATCCAGACTCCGGAACCATAACTACACGGTTAAGAAGAATTTTAAGATTCAAAAGATTAATTATAAAAAGAGAATAATAAAATATGACGAGAAGGGAAGAGGGAGGGAAGGCATTGTAACTCCTCCCTATTTTAAAGTCCATGTCATTTAAGTTCATGGATTGCACAATAACGATAATGATGAGTTGTTCTCTCCACACATATCATTAATTCTATTTATCATTTATAATAATAATGCTGATCAAAGTCTCACCAGTAAGAGGATGTGATATTGGTAGAGGCGTTCCTCTTACACGAGGAATGACAAAGATGAAATCGAAATCCATGTTGGTCTTGCTGGTTCCCTTGAACAGATATGTGTGTTTTCCAGCGTCAGGTGGTACAGTAAGCGTCCAAAGTCCAGGCTTTCGGTTAGCCACCTCGAAAATTGTCACCAATTTATACACCGTTGTCTTTTCAACAGAATTTCCCAGGGGATCTCTGAGTGTTATTTTTGGAGAGCTGTTGGCACTAGAGATCGATACAATTATTTTGTCCATTGTGTCATCTACCATCAATTTGTATTCCTTTGCGGCAACACTCCGTTTCTTCTTACGGAACTGTGGAAATCCACTATAGCTATTACATGTCACCTCTTCAAGGAGCACTCTTGTAAAATTCTTCATCTCTGCGATATCGGACCTAGATTTTGGCAGCTCAAAAATCCCCCCACAAGTGTCCTTGGCAAGTTGCTCGAATGGCTTGTAATCGCCTTCGTCACCACAGGCAGTAGTTAGAAAAAAGTAAACATGTACACCTCGATAGTATAGTTTTCTCTTTGCGTCTTTTAACAATGAAACGTCTTTCGGTGGAGCATCTGTAAAAACGTACAGGGGTGAATTGCTTACGGGACCTTTTTTCAGGGCTTCCAGAATTCCAGTGAAGGCCATCTCCTTGCAGTCTCCTCCGCCACTTGCATAAAGAGCATCAATTTGGTCAATAAATTCTTTTCCTTTTCCAGCACCTTTCCTTATGGCTCTGCCCCTTTCTGAGGAGTTAAAAGATAAAAACTACGTCTAACTTCTTCATCTTTGGTAATACATAAAGTTAGCCGTGTCTAAAGACGAAGCTCCCGTTAAAAAGGGTTGAGCCCGCGATCAACCGAAAACTAGTAACTTGTCAGCCCAGAACTTAAAAAAACACGTAACCTCTATGGGTCCACGCCTGAGCCCTTAATATGGTCATGTGATTCTGGTCAGCGGATAGCCTCTTTTGACAGCTGTTAAATGACATCAACATGGATGTGCAATATCAGGTTGCAATTTCCCACGTTTTAGAAAGTGTGACATTTTAAATTGGCTTCCTTGTGGTTCGGACGGACGCGCGGGCGTACGGTCATGTGATTACCAAAATTTCTCGGAATGATAGAGTACCACATTTTCTTAGTTATGGAGATCCACTCGAGCGTGGAGCTCCTCTATGAAAGGTTTATTTGCTTGTCACGAGAGAGCTAAATAACCAGTCTGGAGTTATATTACTACTCGAATGACTTTATTTTTAGCTCAGTGAGCGGCTGTGTAACGTGAAGATTTGAGTGACAATACGCAAATTGCATAATTCCATTCTAGGATGGTGGGGTAAGGTTTGGGTGCTTATTGGTGGCGGTGAGTGAGAGGAAAATTGAATGGAAATTGTAATTGTCCGTTCGAGCTGACAAATTTATACACAACCGAGCAGGAGAAAGCCGTAGAATTGGAATTTACATTCGTTAGATGTTATATCTCCGCCCATTAAACACTTACTTTTTAAATGTAAACTAGTAAAAATTACTTTAAGGACACTTAGTTTTAAGTGGTCTCTAATTTTGAGGAAGTTTTGGTTGGCTTTTGTGGACTGATTTTACGCAATTTTTTTAAGCCAGGTCTTTCATATCACTGCCCTCATCATCAGGTTACCAAAAGGTGCTTGTCGTCATTTAGATTTATCAAGCCATGAATAGAACTTATTACGACTGAAAGATTGTTTTAAAGCAGCTGTTAGAACTCTTCCAACTTGCACATCGAATACTCGAAAAGACTATAATAATGAAAGGTAATTTATTCTTGAAAGAACCCAACGATTACATAAGGAAGTGTTTTAAATCTGTTATTTAAGGATATTTTCGGTGAATAAGTGTAAACTAAGAACTCACAAACCTGGATCGTTAAAAGGCGACAAAATAAAATCCACTTCTAAATTTGGCCTTGGCATTTTAACGATGTAAGTTGCGATATCCTTGACTGCTTGAATTTCTTGATACATACTTCCCGTGTCATCCACCGCAAACGTAAGTGTTGCCTTATTGCCGTTTTCGTTGCCAACAAAACTTTTAAAATTGCGTTTTCCGATGGTCCTTTTGATTGATCGCATCATTTTCTTAACTGCTTCGACGCATATTGCACATCGCTTTTTACGACGCGAAGTCAGGGAAGAGTGCTTGCTTTTCTGTATGTTGATGGTAGTGTACAGCGCATGACCAAGTGCTTGGCGAAGAAATTGTTCGTTGCCATGCTGAGCGGCAAGCTTGATGATGCCTTCGATCTTCTTCACTCTGGTTGGTGTTTGGAGGTAAAGAGAACCATGGGCCTGTCTCTCGTAAACTGCTCTTTCTATTTCTTCCACGTTTGTCAGCAGGCTGTTGGACGGCGACGAAGCTAATTGAAAAAAATGAAGGGAACAAAAATTGTTACGTTATGCAAAGAAGTAAGAAAATAGTTAAAAGAATAATTGTTTGGTGTTTGATTCATGGACTGATGAATTTAATTTGTTCCTAGCTGCCACTTCTCGTAACACTAATTCAGATAGAACAGATAGAATCAAAATAGATTAAGCTGCAAAGTAATAAACACACAATCATATCTTAATTTGAAGCAACACGACTATCTTAACCCTTCACGTCCCAAGACTGATCAACATCATTCATACCTCATAAAGAGAAAAGTTTATGAGAAATATTAAAATAAACAATAAACAGAAAATGCTTTGATCTTTGATCAAATTCTCTCAACTTATTGATATCAGTATGGGAAATTTGCATGTGGATATTGGAACTGAGAGGGTCTTGAGGCTTTGCAAATGCTTGTCTACCAATAAGGCAAAAGTGAATTTAAGTTACTCGCATTATTTCCGTCATCGATCTTGTTTTGTTACTAAGTTTCTGAATGTTAGCCTGCGATCAGGCTCTCTGTTTAGGGAAAAAAATAGCGAGGAAAGGAAAGGGAAAGTGAGTTTCCCGCTCGACCAAAGGCCTGTTCACAGGCTATCTGAATGCAGGACCTACATTTTTCATCTGACAATCATTGTGCAACTTATTAAACAATTCATTTCTTATTGTAACTTTTATTCCCCCAATTACAGAAGATAGTTGTTTGCGCATTTTAAATAATTTAGCCTTATTCGTGCTTCGTTAATGAGTCATCCATAATCTTCCAAGTTTGTTATTTGTAATCTATCTTTATCTCCATTATCTAAGACTACCTTTTGAATTCTGGGCGGATTGTTTTTTTTCAGGTCGATGAATTATTTAACGTACGATTTGGAGGTTTTCTTCAATTATTTCAAGTTAATTTTGTACGTTACAAAAAATGACCTTGATATGATAAAAGGGCAGTTCTTCAAAAGGAAGTATAATAATAATAATAATAATAATAACAATAATAATAATAAAATCTCGACTACAATTACAGTTGTGTTCTCGTAGCGTACTCTTTGCATGCCAGTATCCAACACCCACCTGCCGTTTCTGCGAAATAAGACAGCAACGCCTTTCTAGTGTCAACCAACGAGTCAACATGATATTGGTAATTGGGTAATCGAGAGGAAACCAAGTTACTCTGATGGAACAAAAGTATAACCAAACACAAAATATTCGGTGTGAAATTGCAAACAAACGACTTTTTCTGTACCTTGGCCATTGTGTAGTAGCAAGCGTTCTCTGCTGTATGATGTCCTTTGGTTTTGTCCTTGCCTTTTATAACCCCGCGTAGTTGCCCACACTTCCTTGTTATCCGCTCTCAGAGCATCCAACAGATGCGAATGTCTTCCTTTCTAGCTTCTGGTCTAATTGAAATGCTTGCATGTGATTTTCTTCCCGTCGTCAACTATTGGTCCATTCGGAAGTTTGCATTTTTATACAAAGTTTCGTAAACTTCCTCGTTGCTTTTGTTGTTATTTTGTACTAGGCAATAGGGGTGGTGTAGGAGTTGGGTAACTGCATGCCATATTCCCCCCCTCTCCTTCAGTGATAAATGTCCCTTTACTTTGAGAATACACTGTAAGTACTTATCGGGTCGCATTTCCAACTACCAACTTGCTACTCTCAAAGATTCAGTCGCTTGTTTAATCTTCCCACGTAGCACCTCTCTTTTGTAGACCGTAAAATTCGAAACTCTCTCATTTCAAAGTTCTTAAGCATTTTTTGGCTAGAAGAAACAGAACCTGAGAAGAGAAAACAGCTTTTTTCTTTTTGTAAGTGTGTCCCTTTTAATTAAACTAAAATCAGTGTGTCACAGATCATCTACAATCAGCCAGTACCCTAGCTAAATCGTACTCAAAGATCGGAAAAGATAAACCTCTGTCCAACCACAAGTCCAAACATTAGCCCGTGAGGAACACCTTTCTCGCTCACCTCCTGACTGTGATCTTGACAAAAGTTTAGAGCCCTGTCGAGCACTGAGCAACACTCTCCCCTCCTTCACTTCCCTCCCTTTCCTTCCCAACCACGATCACTTCAAGCCTTTTCAATCAGTGATCGAGACGTATCATCAAAGAAATATCGTAACAAATCATTATTCCAGTAGCTTTATTTTGCTGACAAACTGTGTAGCACAACTTTCCGTTGTCTGAGATATTTTTAATTAGTCATTCAAACTCTAGCCTATAATGTCACATTTCATTTAATTCAGATTTTTCCAGTAATACAGGACTAGTCAGGAAACTCAACCAAGCCTTTTCTGCGTTTCAGTTTCAACGGATGTAAACAGTAACAGTAGTAGCAGTAATGATTGCTGAAACTGTAAAACTTGATCATTTTTTGACTAGAGCTTTCTTGAGAGAAGACTAAGCGAGTTACTCCACGTGGAGAGACTCACAATACAAGGATGCTTCCTCGAGGTTCACTAACGCGGTACTCTAACGTGTAACGAATTTAACAGCTTACACGGTATTTGAACTGTGAAAACTAATACGTTAAGCACGACTGGTCAGGAGAGCATCAGCCACGGTACTCACATGTAACCACTTGCAATTCACCCTGCCTCAAGCGCTGTTCGTGCTAGAGAGTGTACAAAATTGTTTTTTCTTTAGAGAGCTCTCCATTTAGGTAGCAACTCACAATTTCGGCAAATAGGTGGTTAGAACTCCCTCAGCACTGAAATGCAAATTATGGTCTAAAATTTAGCGCAAATATTACCAGAAGAGCCGTTAGAGGGAAGCAAATAAATTGTCCTCCTAAACGTTTATAAAACAAAAGCCGGCACTGTGCCCTATCAACGTAGATCTCTTTCATAGAGCGGCTTGGAAACATCTCCGACCAATCACACTAGTTCCAAATACTTACGTCAACCATTGCTGACAGACAAACCTGAAAGATGCTAAGTCTACGCCGATTTTGAGGGACAAAATTTGAGGAAACAGCATCGTGGTCTGTTTCATGCGCTCAAAGGCTGCATCGAATTCAATTTCAATGATGTTGGTCTCAGTGAAAGATCAGACTTAAAAGTTAACCCTTTCCAGGGTGGACTAATTAGCCCCCTACCCTCCCCCTAACCGTTATCATGATGACAAACTAAGTTTTTGAGAAGAAAAAACTAAAAAAAAAGTTGTTAGCATTACTTTGCCCACAGTAGGTTCCGCGATTATCCTTATATACAGTATTTTAGCAACACAGTCTCGCTTCTTTTTGCAACTATTTTCTTAAATTTATGATGGTACAGTAGCCAAGGAACATAGGCTTGCATGCCTCGATGACCCCGTTTCAGCTTGAACGGATGTTTACTAGTTAGGCGGGCTCAATTAAATTCAGGGCTTCTGACAGGTCGCGGAAGGAAAAGTCAAATTTCGCAGAATTTTTAGGCACAAATTCGCGGAAAAATCGGCCGATTTCACGGTAATTTCGCGGGTGTTTTCGGGGCAAACTTCACCAAAAGCAATCGGTAAAAAACGGCCGATTTTGTGGTTATTTTCAAGGCAAATTTCACTAGAAATTAATCGGTTTTGCACTGATCAGACCAGCTTTTTTAACGTTTTTCTAACAGAGGTCATCATTTGCTCTTTAAACAACAATACGCTCCCGAAATGAACCAATGGCAAAGCCTTTAACATCATGGCTAGTGCCAGTTTTTCGCAACATAATCTACGGCTGGTAGTTTCGAGATGTTGTTTGCACGTTTCAGAGACGAAGTTCTAAGATAAATTTGCAAGTTTACGGCAAGTAAATAGCCCCAATAGCTGAAAAAATTTCAAATATGTAGTACAGACATGTCTTTGATAAGATTTCTACCGAATTTCGCGGGATTTCGCGGATTTACCTGTCGAATTTCGCGGCACCACGACCGCGCGAAATATCAGAAACCCTGATTAATGGTCTATTTATGACAGTAAGACCCCAACTCTGGAGTACAAAATCCAAATAATGCACTTCCGTGAAGAAAAAAACATCAGTGAGCAATATCTACTATCAGCTAGTACTCCAAATGTTATTCTAAGGTGACAAAAGCAACTTAACTTCCGTAACTATCCACTCTGTTGGCAGTTATCAAATCGGTCTTTCTCTGTACAAAGATAACCATGATAATGGTAGTACTCCTCTGTTTTTAAGAGGTCTAGACAGACGGTTTTTTCCGCTCAAAGTTTACTTAAAAATATTGGTTTTGATAGCTAGGCAATAGGTTTACACAACAATAGATTCATTGGAATCAAAATCTAACATTAACTTTCGTTTGAGGAACATCCTTCTCGTCCACCCCATGACTATTATCTCGGTAACAGCTAGTTTAGCCCTGTCGATTACCGAGCAACACTCTCCCCTCCTACGCTTCTCCCCCCCCCAACTGTTAAACTTAAGTCTTTTCAATCAGTGACATAGGATAAAAAAAATCATTATTCAAATCATCATTCCGCTAGCTTTATTTTGCTCAAACTACATAGCACAACTCTTCTTTTTTTATAAGGTATTTTAGTGATTCAAATTCTCTCCTATAATTACTTATTTCTTTGAATCCACGTTTTTCCAAGAATACAATCGGGAAGCTCAATGAACCCTTCACTTCCTTTCAAATTCAACGGATGTTTGGTTTTGACCTGCTTGCTGATAGCTTCTTAAGCTTTCATTCCAGTGATTTTTGCCAAGAAGCCAGCTACAGTTTCCGAGAAAAATTTCCTTCCCAGCTGATACGTCACTTTTGACGGCGAGTAGTCAACAAACAACACTAATGAAATCAAAATCAGGTCTTGCTTTGCATAAACACTACTATACAATAGCTGCATGAAACTGAAACAGCAGCAGTAGTAACATACAATAGCTGAAACTGTGTAATTTGAAATTGTTTTAGTACTAGAGCTCTCTGAAGAGAGTAGTTTACTCCACATGGAGCTATTCCTTCTCTGTGTAGGTGTGCTTCCTCAAGTTTTACTTTCGTACTTAAACAGGGGCCTCCCATGTCCTTGAAGATGTAACAAATTCAATGACTTACGCGCTATTTGAACTGGCACAACCAGGAGGTAAAATATTAAACGACTGCTTTTAGCATTAACCACAATTTCTAATTGTTTGAGACTATTTTTTTACTTGTTTCATACTATATATGATCACTTGCAATTCTATCCCCGCCCCCGGTGGCTCATGCTAGAAAGTGTTCAAAATTGTTTTCGTTTGAAAATCTTCAGTCCGCTTTTAATAATATTTCTCAATTTCGTATAGCTGGCTAGCACCCCTCAGCACTTAAAAAGTGTACAAAATTGTTGCTCTTTTTAAAATCTTAACCCTTTAAATAATAATTCTTAATTTCGTATCGTTGGCTAGCAATCCTTCAGCATTGAAAAACTGCAAACTAAGGTATAAGGTTCGAAGTCTCGGGCCCAAAATAGCTCACCAGAAGAGATCGATAGAGGGAATCATATCACTAATATCCTCCTAAAAGTTTCTAAGACAGAAGCCGCTGTTCACCCTATCAACACAAGCATCCCGTCTACGGCAAACAGATCGGCTTAGACTACGAGTAGTCCCCCATTTTTCCTCAAGGATAGTAGAGCGTGCGAACGCGAGCGCGCGTGAAAATCACCCCACGCGAGAAAAGGCGCATGTCTCCTTTTCTCGCGTGGGGTGATTTTCACGCGCGATCGCGTTTCGCTCGCTCTACTATCCCTGAGGAAAAATGGGGGACTACTCGTAGTCTAGATCGGCTTGGAAACATTTTTGACCAACCTTTGCTGACAGACCAACCTGAACGCTTCCCTGACTCTTCCCTGATTTTAAGGCACAAATTCTGAGGGAATCGCAACGAGGTCTTTTTCATGTGCTCAAAGGTTACCTCATATTGAATTCAAATGATGTTGGTTTCAGTGGTGAATGATAGGCTATAAGAGGACTACAAAATTCGCCCGTTCCAGTGTTGACAAATTATCCCTCTACCCTCCCCTCATGATCACAAAGGTTGACTTACTGAGGAGTAAGAGAAAAATAAATAACTGTAAAATCAAACTGTTGGTGGCATGCATTACTTTGCTCATACCAGGTTCCGCAACGATATTTGAGGGACACAGGCTTACTCCATTTTGAACTATTTGCCTAAATTCATAATGTTGCAGGAGTTTAGTATAGGAACAAAGTCTCGCATGTCTCGATGACCCCGTTTCAGCTTGAACGGAT